GCTACAGTTGGTCAGGATCCTAGTGGGGGCCTTAAGTTCTTGTGGCTTTCCTGCTTCCCAAGGCCATTGCAAATCTTTTTTCGTAGCTGTTGTCATTGTTTTTTTTTTTTTTTTTTTTTTTTTTGGAGAGATTTTCACTGTAGGGCGCGTGTGCTCGCCAGACAGAGAGAGACATAGAGACAGAAAGCGAGAAATCACCCCCCAGGGGGGATGGTCACGCTGCAATCCCTTCTCCTCCATTCTCCTCTCGGGATCTTGGGCACGCACGCACACGCGCCCGGCGTGAGTTTTAAGCCACCGGGTCTGGGACACGAACCACGGTCGACTCCGTGGGAGTCCAGCGACATAGCCATTACGCTAACTGCTGGTTCCCGCTGTTGTCATTGTTTTTTGTAAAACGTTTGCTTTTTTTACTGTAACTTGAATGAAAATTCAACGTAGTATATATTCGTCCCTTTGCAAATCTTGGTAGCTCAGAGAAGTCTTGGAAAAAAACTATCACTCAGGAGTCCCTCCACCTAGATAGCAAATAGTTATATTTATGTAGTTCCATTCCTTTTCTACGTATTCATGTTACAAAATGTTTACTTTTGTGCCTTCAGAACTATTTTGTAACCTTAAAAGCACACAATGTTGGCTGATTTCCCATGAGCAGTTCCAAAGCGTTGTTCTCAGTTATCACGTGGTTTTGCGTTGACGTCGTGTGCTTCACTTTCTTAAACTTGCCCTGGCTTAAAGATAGGCAGTTCACTATCTTGTTTCCTGTTGCCAAGTTTTATAAAGCACGCCCGTGTAGAAATCCCAGCCCTTTAGGGATCCCACCTAGATTCCTTGGGGTCAATGGCAAGGAGTGAGATGACAGGGCCAGGGGGCGGGAGCTGGTCATCTCATGACCTCGCCAAGCTGCTTGAGTAGTTCCTTCCAAGGTGGGGCTTGACTGAGGAGGAAAGATACTCTCCAAGTTAGCTTTTTGGAGGATGCAGTCTTCATGATGTGGAGCCAACTCAAGTCTGATCATTGCCTGAACTTTCTATTGATATGGAGAAACTTGTGAGTGGCCTTAAAGTCCCCAGGGCTGATGGCTGCCTAGGCTTTCTGACCCCTGCAAGTTAGCTACCCCTCCCTTGAGCTGTTCTGAGGCCTTGATTCCCTGCTTCTCTGCCAGCTGTGTTAGGGCAGACACTGAGGCCCTTCCTGATAGGACATTTCGAGCATGCTGAAATGGCCCTTCCCCAATTCACCCATAAAAGACTGTGCTTAACCCCCACAGGGGAGTGGATGTGGGGGGGGGGGGGACGTACCTCTGTGCCTGCTACCATAATAATAATAATAATAATAATAATAATAATAATAATAAGTTCTCCTCTCTGGAGTGCTGCGTTTTCCTTCCTTGGCCATCTGTTTTCCCACAACATTCAAAGAGACTGAAGCCACTGGCAACCACCTGGACTCCTTAGGCAGGCCTGGGATGCACCTGGACTCCGTCACACCCGCAGTTTTCGCTCTGTAGGGAGAGGATTGGGCGCCCAGATGTCAGCCCCTGGAGAGAACACCTGTGCCACAGTGTGCCAACATGTACTGTGTGGCCAACTTCTAGGGGAACTTCTAGGATATGAAGTAAGAGGGGGAAAGAGGGAAGGTGACGTTTCCTTAACTGCTTCTGAGAGATCTCTCCAGCCAGGGGCAAGAGCTACATTAACCTTGACTGAGATCAATAGCTTCAAAAGCAGAAATCGACCTGAACCCCTTTCCCTCTCCCAGTTCTTCCAAATGCATACAAGACGCCTCGCCTCTCCTGCGTGTCGCCCCAGCAGTCTGTGTGCCCTCAGTGCCAGGGCTGCACCTCCCATCCCAGGCACCCTGGGTGTTCTGTGCCCCCAAGCGAAGTATCTGCTGCAAATCCAGGTGTGCTTCACACCAGAAATCTCTGGTACCCTGGTGCACCGGGTGCAAGGGCACCTGCACTTCAGAAATGCTAAAACATGACGCTGAAGAAATATGCAGCTTACTTGTATTTTGCCATATTTCAAGTAAGACCTAAGGTAGCAGCCCATAGAAATAGAGCAAAACTGGCCCTGAGGCTCGTGATTAAAAGAAACTGGATCCCAATAGCCAACTGCAGCTTGAGTCCTGGCCCAGTGACTTGAGAAACACACTGGGCGTGATGTGTGTGCCCCAAATCCTGACAGGATGAAGGGACAGAGAAGGGATTGTGGCAGGACCACACCCTGTCACGGGGTGCCTGCTCCATCACTCTCTCTCTCTTGCTCACTCTACTGAGCACATGCACCCTCTGGCAATAATAATAATAACCGAGCGAACAAGAAAATAAATAATTTTTAAAATAAGAGAACAGGAGGAGTGTTCAGGAGAAGGCATTTTGTTTCCGATGCAGATTCGTACTCAGAGGTGCTTTTCTTGGCTGTAACAGAGTAACAATAACCTACACAAACGAAATGCTGAAAGGATATGTGTGAGCTCGAAAGTAAAATGGACTTCACTGTGGTCCAGAGACAGACTGCCACGGGCTGGCAAAGCCACGGGCCTGTGAGGTCTGGGTCCCGAAGCATAACAGGGACACGAGCTGGGAACAGAGCCAGGTTTTGCTTTGCTCTGTCATCAGTGGACATGTGGGTAGGAAGTGTGGTCATGTTGCAATCCTTTTCCTCCGTTTCTCCATTCCATCAGAATTTGAGGCACGCATACACACGTTCTTCAAGCAGCTAGGGCTGGGATTCGAACCACAGTTGACCATGTAGGATCTGGTTTTCTATGCACAGCACTTAACTGCTGCTCACTCAGTAGAGTGAGTGAAAGAGAGAGAGTGATGGAGCAGGCACCCTGTGACGGGGTGTGGTCCTGCCACAGTCCCTTCTCTGTTCCTTCATCCTGTCCAGATTTGGGGCACATACCACGCCCAGTGTGTTTCTCAAGTCACTGGGGCCAGGACTCACTAAGGCTTTCTTTTGGGTTTTTGGGAATGCCATGACACATTTTTTACATAGAAAAGTACAGCATGATGTTCCCAACGACCTAATATTCGAAGCCAGGGGCTGGTAGTGAGAGTGGTCACTTTTACATCAGAAAACAGTCTGAAAACTCTGCTTCGGTCATTTCATGAGATGACAGCTGATGTGAAGGTATGATCCTGTCCAAGGAGAACACAGGCACAGTCCTGGTTTCATGAGCAGAACGCAGAGGGTCAGGATTCTGAGCTATCAAGAAAAGACAAGTTTCTGTACTGCAGACCAGGGTTCAAACAGAGAAGTCCCAAACTGCTAGATGTGAGGAAGCAGCAGAGAGAGAGAGACCTTTACCTGAAAATATCCTGAAAAGCAGTACTCTGAAGCACACAGAGACATCTAATGCTGATACAAACAGCAAAATCAATAGCAATACGAATTAACACCAGATGAAATTAAAGTAACTGAATAGTCTGAAAATGAGACTTTAATGTAAGCATATTTGGTATGCTTAATGAGAACAAAAATGAATAATATTTGTGGGGAAAAAAGAGATTATGGGGAAAAGCTATAATGTAAAAAGACCAGCAGTTAACGTAATGGCTATGTCGCTGGACTCCCATGTAGTCGACTGCGGTTCTTGTCCCGGACCCAGTGGCTTAAACTCACGCCGGGCACATGTGCGTACGTGCCCAAGATCCTGAGAGGGGAATGGAGGAGAAGGGACTGCAGCATGGCCATCCCCCCTGGGGGGTGATTTCTCGCTTTCTGTCTCTCTGTCTCTGTCTGTCTGGCAAGTGCACACGCCCTATAGCAAAAACCTCTGAAAAAAAAAAAAAGATCAAGTAGCTATGAAAAAGTACCTTATAAAAGGTAATATAGTTCATTTCCATTTCCAGGAAGATGGAGTAAATGTACTCTTACCTATTATTTTCACGAAGCACTGCAAAATAAACAAAAGCCCACAAGATTCTAATAAATGGAGAGAATGAGGCAGATTGGCCAGGGACCCAGAGACCCAAGGAATGACAAGATAGTGAGTTCTAGTGTTGTTTTGTTTTTGTTTTGTATTATATATCTCAGCTTTAGAGCTGAAAAAAGCTGGCAACCCAGAAATGCCAGTGGGTACACACAGAATAGCCCCAACAATAACCTTTGCTCTCTCGCCAAAGGACCAGGAAAGAGCGGCCTATCAAATGGCAAACGGTTAGACAGTGGCCACTCTATTCCAGCTGAACGACAGCAATATTTCTCAAATTCATCTACAGGTTCAACCTGATCCCTGTCAAGTTCCCAACTGCCTTTCTGGAGGAACTAGCATACTGATTTTAAATTTTACATGAAAATTCAAGGACCTACAATAACCAAAACAATCTTTAAAAAGGAGAACTAAGTTGGAGGAGTCATTCTCTGCAACTTCAAAACTTATCTACAAAGCTATCAAAATGTGTGGTCTTATTGTACATCAGTGGAATATAATCAAAAGTCCAGAAATAAACTCTTAAATTTATGGTCAATTCATTTTCAGAAAAGG